GGACTCTGTAACGCTTTCTCCGGGAATGAGAGAGAGATTTGTGGAGGTTTTGCCTTTATTGGGCTGTTTAGGAGTGTAATAAATGTCACTTTTGCGCTTGAAGTAGATTTCCATCATAAGATTTTTTTTTTTTAATAACAATTTTGGTTATATAATTTGATTTCTAGAATCTAGACTACGAAGCTATTGATGGTGGAGACAAAATATAACAAAAAATTATAAAAATATTTAGAGAAAAAGAATACTAAATCTAAATCTGAGTTTTTATTTTTAAACAAAATATTTTGTTCAAATACTTATACTTTGGGCACAAAACGGAAATTAAATGAATAGTAAAATATCGGAATAGTCGATCATCCAATAACGAAAACACTTGAAATGAAAATTTTATTTTTTGAAGATTATTGATGTTTTAATGTTTTAGTTAAAAGTTATAACACTTTCTTCATGTGTAGTGAAATATTTTTTAAGAACGTGAAAACTGATGAATAAGTATATACTGTATCTTGAATGGTAAAAAATCAATTACTTTTTAACACGTGAAAGAAACCACTCATTGTCGATGTTTCATTTTTAGTTATATTTTAACACGCTCAAAGTATAACGTAATCTATAATTCTTGGTTTGGAAGCTAAAACATGAAACCTAATTAGTGAACCACAACCCTTGAAACTCTCCCATAAAAACAAAACAAAGCAAAAAAATTTAGAGAAGATAATTTTTTCAGAAAAATAATTTATAGCTTAATCGAAAGAAAAAAATCTAAAGAACATAGAAACGAATCAATAATCAATCAAAACAAAAAAAATGAAATGATCAAAAGTATATAAATCATAAGAATACGAAAAGATATAGATATAAACAAAATTAAAAAGCGTAAAAAATAACATACTTCGTAGATCTAAGTGCTAACATGCAAAAATCTTTCAAAACATAACAACACCCATTAACATAAACCTGTAAAAATAAGAACATCAAAAATATTAGAACATAATAATATCATTAACAAATCATCAAAACTCGTTAAAACCCATTAGATTAGAAACATATGAAAGCAACAATACTATATAACAAAACAACGAAAGAAAAACAATTGATATTAAACCTAGAAAAGAGATCAATATATATAACTTTTTATACATTTAGAGTTTTGCCAAAAGTAACCAAAAACGGAACTGTTATTAAGCCCATCAACGATTCACCAATTATTCGCATCTCGTCGGCCCATAGAACTGTTATTAAGCCCATCAACGATCCACAATGTAATCAGTGACATTTAATCGTAATTAAATAGAGATTTTAGGGCATCACGGTAATTTCAAATCCTCAAATCCGAAACTGATTCTCGTGATGCCACCTCGGATCTGCGACTTCCTATTTATAAGTATAGATCATTTTTTTGAAACATGAAAAATTTGATGAATGTTTTAAATGGTAAAATAATTACATGTCATATTTTTATAACGTGAAAAGGTATACTATTCAATATTCTCAGCTTCATCTAAAAAATATATCATATATATTGTTTATTAACATACACATATATAGGTGGCCATCCAAAGAAACACATGTAGATGGGGTTTGTGATGACATACACTTAACTTCACTTGAATTGTTTTAGATGTATAGGGAAATTATTTGATATGGGTAGTAAAACAAATGGTAATTGGCTCAGGGTGGATTTTCACATATCATTCAAGTAAGTGTCTTTATGAAATTTGTTTTTTAAACCTCTATAAACATAGAACATTCCGTTTCTTTGAGTGAATTCACAGACCAACACGTAGGATTGAATACTATACAGACACTTCTCTTTCAAATCTCAAATATAGTGGGTTTTGTTCTAAGCTAAATCAACTAACTTTTTCAGAAAATTCGATTATTGTTCGAATTAAAGTTATTAATATAAATGGTAGTTAAGGTCAAGACTTTGAGAGTGTGACAAAACCAGCCTTCATTAGACCTCCAAAATCATATGTAATTGAAATATAATTTTGCTGTGTTTCTTTCTGTCTTTGAATTGATTCCTTAGTCTCCTTTTCTTCTATACTTTCTTTGTATCATATTTGGAAACATATCGTATCATTTCATCATCGCTTCTTGCATGCTCCACAGGTACACCTCTCCATTCCTTTTTCCAGCGACTGCATAATCAACGAAAATAAAACATCATTTAAACAAATAATGATATTTGTGAAATATTTTACAAACTCATTTTCAATTTGTATGGCTTTTATGGAGTTCAAGTTCAACTCGGGTTATTTCTTCATATACATTATATAAGACCATATATAACATGTGAAATCGATATGGGACCTCAGAATCTAAGGTTAATCTCAAACATGACCTATGCATCAATTGAGTGTTTGATATGCATAACCAACTATTTATATATGTATCATTAAAGTATTTTAGAAAAAAATTAAGAAATATATATGAGAGAAGCTTTATGTTCATAGGGTGAAAGAGTATAAATGCACATACTAATTAAACCTTATGAAGAGAGCAACTAAAGAAAAACCTATTAAGAGATCTTTTTAATTAGGCATACATATGACAACAATTTATGATCAATTCAAATGAATATTTTCTTATGATCACCAAGTTTTAGATCAAAACTAAACTAATTAACTTTAAAATTGTAGTTGTCATGTAAATTTCGCTCTGCTATTGATTAATTTGACGATATTCCACTATATCACCATTTTCAACATACCATAATTTGGTTGTGGTTTGGTTTTAAAGTAACATTTTTCTCAACACATATAAACTTCAGTGTGAGAAATTGCCATTTTGCATAAATGGATTCACATATGTATATAAGGACGAACCTCTACTTGGTTTTGAAGACCTTTGATATGCTCAACAGCCAAATCCAACATGTCTGCATAGCTTGTTTGCTGCCAAAATTTTAAAACCTAAATTATAGATATGTAATCTCCTAAATTACATTAAAGTATAACTATAATATTCCCAACCTTATCCATATTTGGCACCAGTTCTTGTAGCTTCTTAAGCCTTCCGCTTATTCTTGTTCTTCTCTCCTATAATATACACAAACAAACCAGATCATATATATACTCGTATTCTCTTTGGTTTTCAATGAACTTATATTATGATTATGTATATATATACTTATGCAATAATCATTATTGTATCAAGGTAATGACATAAAACTAACCCTTTCAGCGATGCTGCGCGGGTGAGTCGCACAACCGCGCTTGGCCCTTGTCCTACAAGGGACTGAGTCCTCTGGGATGTTCATCAAACTCTCCATTCTCGCCATTTCAAGAGACGTTTGCGGCATGCTAAACTACAGAAACAAAACCATATATATCTAAGGTGAAAACAAATATAATTAACCACATAATAATCCAAACCAACATGTAAGACTTTACACAAAGATCAATTGTTTGCATAAGGATTTGTGACAAAAACCTTTGCCAGGCTATTTATATGCATCACACAAAACCACTCAACTTACATGATATTGTAACATTTACATATTTTTATCTTCAATTCTGCCTACTTGGAATCCTATATTGCTAATTAACTTTAAGAAATTGAAATCCGATTTATAGATTTCATATCATATGACACACAATAATATCATTTATTAACATATAACTTGTGAATTATATGTAAGATAAATTTTCAACCCTCTCCAAGCTTATACAAACTATAATACACAAAAGTATAGAACCACTCAACTTTGGGCCACTTATAGTAAGAGATTCCGAATACTATGAACTTTATTGTATAGAAAGTTTGATGTAATTTTAACATTCATAAATAAAATTACATATAATTTATAACCACAAAATTATAGAAAAAATACCTGAGTTTCTAAGGTGAAAAAGTCGGTGGTCTTGGACCGTTTTCCGGGTTCATCAATGGTGAAACTGATATGAGAAGACGAGTTGTCCCAATTGTTATGATGTTCATTTCCAAAACTCATACTTGTCGATGCGACACCGTTTATAGCCGCTGCAGACGCTTCAACCTCCGAGATTCGTGGTAGAGAATGTTCTTGATGACTACTACTACTACTCCCGCCGGATAATCTTGCCTCCGACTTCAACCTCGACGGTCCTCGCTCTCCTCCTCCGACGTATCCTCCGTTTGGCCGTCCTAGAGAAAAACCTGTTCCCTCTTCCATCAATAAAGTTTTAGATCGAAAGAGAAAGGAAAGAAATCTAAGAATGTAGGGTTATGTACTTATTATAACTCCGTATTTTAATAACCAATATGATTATTAAAATGTATAAATACAAGATAGAAGGAACGGGTCTTCGTCGAGACTTGAGAGAACCTCTTGCTTTGTCTCTACTACTAAAAAATTATTTATCTCCAATTTGACAGAGAATAACGATTCATGAAAAAGAATCTAAGAAATATTCATTAGAACATCCCCATTGAAAATATTTTAATGGGGTTTTCAAAATATTAGAAAATATTAATAGTGTTATAATAGTATAAAAATAAATAAAAAATATGTTTGAGCATCAAAACTTGAGTACCATTCAAGAGTTTCTTATATACTCAAACATATTTTATTATTAATTTTATAATAGATTAGTAGTATTATCATTTTATAGTATTTTAAAAATTCTATTTAGATATCCTCCGCAAGGATGCTCTTATTATTTGAATTCCAAATATTATTATTAAATAAATTATTATGTGTATATAATAATGCAAGAGGGGTAGTTTTTCTTGGGGCTCGCACATGGATTACAGTGGAAAAATAAACCGGGACGAATGCAATGAACCAAAGATCAAATTGCGTTAAAATAATATAAATTATTACTTGCAACCAGCAATTAAGTGATAAATCTATCTATTATAATGACAAGTAGGCGTATCCAAAAATCAAATTAGTGACTATGATGAAGCCATGTCAGCAAAAGTGGGCCCTCATGGCTGCTTTGTCAGAAGAAAAAGAGCAAGTGGGGATAAAATATTTGCCAAGTGGACTATATACTTTTATTTCTTTTTGTAATGATTCGTGTTTATAACATTATACTTTTGGCAAGTGCATGTTTTTATATTACATGCTATTTGCATTAGATTGCATTATTAAAATATACAACTTGCCTCTATTGGAAATACGTATTTGATTATTCATGCATGTATAATGTATATATACGTATATATGTGAATAAGATCGACCATGGAACCAGAGAGGGGATGAAAGAGAAAGGTGTTTATAAAATCTATAGATAGATAGATAGACTAACTACCAACCAAACAAAATATCTATAGTTAGATATCTATAGTTAGATATTTTGATAGCTTATGTGATTTCGATTTTCAACTAAGAGGTCGATATTATACTTGTTAGTTAATTAGAAAAGCAAAAGTCGTATCCTTTTATATATGGAGGGAAAGCAAATTATTTTAAGTCATCGAAAGAAAATCAAGATTTCATGAAGTCAAAATTATACGTATTAGACCGATTTACTTTCCGACTCGTTTATCAATATTACTCCCTCAGTTTCTTTAAATCGTATGTTTAATTTATGATTTTCACATAATTATTGTATTACTAGAAACATTTCTAGTAATTTAAATGATCAATTTAGTTAAAAGTTATGTTCTATTAATTTGAATTGGTATAACTAATTGAAATATTAAGTTTGTAATAAAAATTTTAAGTAATTATATTTGTGAAACAAAATAACAACAACTCAAACATTTAACTTAAAGAAGGTGAGAGAATTACTAATTACTAAAATCACCTATGTGTATTTGCAATTCTTTTTGGAGGGGGTTTAAAATTTGTATTACAATTTGCATTTCACGTATACTATCAATCCAAATTAATTAAGAGGACCATTTGGAGAGGCAAAATCTAGTAAAAAAAAAAGAGTTAGGGGTTGGAAATGTAAGAAACTAAAAAAAGTTACCGTTGGGATCAGTAGGAAGATGTTGGTCAAAGAATCCGGCCGGAGAACTTCTGTGTCGGAACAAAGAAGAAGAGGCACCGGATTCCGTGCCAAAGGAAGATGGGTCGCCGGAGAAGTAATGACCAACGACGTTGGGATCGTTCTGCCGCCGCGTCGGAGGCTGTGGATGATGCGGCGGTGGAGGATTGTGGTGTGTTTGAGAGCCAAGAGAGGAGAAATCACGTGTGGCTCCGGCGGCTGAGTCATATCGATTGTTGTCGCCGTCTCCGCCGCCGTCTTGAGCGGTGGACTTGGCGGAGGAAGGAGGAGGATACATAAAATAAAATAAAAATTGGTCGGAAAAAGAAAAATACAAAAAGTTAATATGATGGTTAGGGAAAAATCTAGATGGAGTCTTTAGAGAGAGAGAGAGTAGTTTTGATTCGTTAATATAATAGTGCAAGAGGGTTACTAATAGTACAAGAAGATTACTAGTTATATAGTTAGGGATTGCTAAAATTGTTTAATTAATGTAATGAGAACAAATAAGAGAGCAGGCTTGTGACCTGTTTTGTGCTTGACCAAGAGAGAGTCTACTACTCACGGTCCCGTCAACGGCACGTGCACGGTGCACCTCACGTGGTTGACAGATTGAAGTTTGACGTTGTTTTCGTTCTTCCATTAAAGTCTAAACTAATTAGTTGTCATTTTTTTATAAGCTTAGTAATTATGGAAATAGTGAAGATGCTGGTTGGTTGGAGATGTATATATAAATTATGAATTTTTGTTTTTAAT